CAGATATAATCACACAAAACAGAGCCGACATTCAGAAACTTAGTTGGTTGTGCCTATGCTTGTATTTTTGCTTAGCTATGGCTTCATTGTTTAACTGAAAGCTACAGTCCTTATTGGGGCTTATAGCACATCAAATTTCTACCTCCTGAGCCTAAAAGGTAAATTATATTCACTTTTGTTTTATCCTCAGGACTAACTGGCATAGCAACCTTTTAATAATAACAGTCTCTGGAGGATATTTCAGTCCCCTCCTCCCCCCACTAATAGAAGACCAAAACGTGTGTGGCGTCAAGAGTGAACAAAAGACCAATACACTTGCACATACTCGCTGGTGAGGTGTTGTAACTGGAGGGCAAGTTAGATGATAAACTGGGTAGAAAAACAGAGCGTCACAAGTTACCCAGCACTACCCATGACACTACAGACCCAGCCACAGGCTTCTGACCCACACCCGCAAAAGGACATCAGAGCAGCCACAGAGGTCTCCAGACTGAGACCAAGAACTGCCCTGGGCCTCTTCAGATGGCACATACATGCCCCTTGGGCAGGGCCAGCCTGGGCCAGGGCCAGGGCCTGTCCTTGAGGTTTCCCAAGCCCTGAGCGGGCATGTCATCATTACCTGTGCCCTCTCCTCCGGTGTCTGTGGAGGCCAGAGGCAAGTGTGGCTTTGCAGGTTGAGGCCCAGGGAGGGAAGCACTGCAAGAGCTGATGCAAAGTCCAACCTCTGGTTCCCTGGGGAGTCTGGAGGAGGATGGGGGAAGGGAGGAACAGAGAGGCTCTGCCTCTAGGGGACCATGGCGGCAGGCTCACACCTAGAGCACTGTGCTACCCAGCCACCAGATGGACACTGCAGGCACCACCAACATGAGCCAGAATTGGGAAGCACAGCTAGTGCCAGGCCACTTCCCATTTCCCCTCCTCCCCAGCTCCCTGGAGGCACAGAGGGGCTTTCAGGACAGAACACAAAGGAGGCCCAGGAAACAGAGCAGGCAGCTTTAAGCTACTGAAGGGAGCAAAGAGGAAGAAATGGGCCTCATTCCCCAGACTCTGAGAGCTGGAAGAGGTCCCAGGAAGCCAACTTCAGCAAGAACAGAGCAGAGGGGAGCTTGGGCCACAAGCAGACCCAGGGTCTGGAAGGGCCTGAAGGCTGGACCCACCCCTGGCAGGTCTGAGAACACGTGAGGGTCTGAGGACTACGTCGGCCTAGAGAAGGGTGGAGTATCAGGTCATCCCAGCCAGGCTCTCTAGTGCCCATGGCCAGAGGGAAGTACCGCTGCTTGGGAATGAAAGGTCACAGCCTGCCCTCCCTGCTGATGGCTGCCCGTGACTCAGCACACAGTACGAAGGCTCTCGGACGGGCCCTGCGTAAGCAGGCACTGCACCGCGTCTCATCACTCCCCGGGGCCCTGCACGAGGGCATCTGGCCAAGGCGCTGCATCCGCTCAGGCACCTGCCCTCCCTTCACACTGCCCTGCTGCGGTCTAGCACCTTCGCCTCTCGCCTCGGCCTCTCCCACCGCAGGTGCTCTCCCCACCTCCAGCACAACCAGCTTCCAAACCACTCCTGCCCCCAGCCCCCTCCTCGAAGGCCCTCTTCCCACCCCTCACAGCTAGGTGAGTCCGGGGGGCTTACTCTGTGTGCGGCTCTCCAGCAGTATTGTGTTTTCTCACTGTCACTGCCTGGATTCGGGAGTGAGGGGGTCCATGAGGCAAGAACCTCACCCAGCTTCTTCCTTGCTATCCCCCCAGGCCCTAGCCCCACGTACATAGTGATGGCACAGAAGAGAAAAAGCATAAGAAAATCTGAGTGTCAGCCTAAGAGGTCCAATACTTGACTAATGAGAGTTCCAGAATGAGAAGAAATTATCAGAGAAACATTATTTAAAAATTTGCTAGAACTGAAAGGTGTCTTCAGACTGAAAGAGGTCACCAAGAATCCAAAATGACGAATTTTAAAAGAGATAGTGTTGTGGAATTTCAGAAATAAATTTCACAGCTAAAGAGATGATCCTAAATATTTCCAAAGAAAGAAAACAGACCACTTGCAAAGAATTGGGAATAAAATGGCATCAGGTTTTTCAACAGCTATATTGGAACCCAGAAGAAAATAGCACAATGGTCTTCAAAAATCTGAAGAAAAATGATTGTCAACCTAGAATTTTCTCCTCAGCCAAACTGTCAATTAAGGCTGAGTGCAGAATTACAATTTTTTTTAGACACAAAAAGACTCAAAACTTTCTTCCCGTTTACCCTTTTTCAAGAAGCTACTAGAAGAGGTGCTGCACCAAAGCTACAGCACACACCAAGGACAAGGGAGACTTGGAGCTGGTGGGAGGTGGGCCCCAGAAAGAAAAATTTCATGGAAAAAAAATGGAACTGAGGCTAGGCGTGGTGGTTCATGCCTGTAATCCCAGCACTTTGGGAGACTGAGACGAGAGGATTGCTTGAGGCCAGGAGTTTGAGACTAGTCTAGGCAACATATTGAAACCCCATCTCTACAAAAAATTAAAAACAAAATAACAAAACAAAAAACTAGCTGGGTGCAGTGGCTTGCACCTGTAGTCCCTAACTACTCAGGAGGCTGAGGTAAGAGGATCACTTGGGCCCAGGAGTTCAAGGTTACAGTGAGTCACTGCATTCCCACCTGGGCTACAGAGCAAGACCCTATCTCTTAAAAAGGAGGGGGAAAAGAAAGATGAAACTGAAAAATATGAATCTTCAAGTTAAAAGAAGGCACTGAAAATATAGTCATGTGTCACTTAACGACAGGGACACATTCTGAAAAATGCATCATTAGGCAACTTTCTTGTGTAAACATCAGAGCGTACTTACACAAACCTAGAAGGTACAGCCTACTAAGCGCATAGGCTATTTGGTCTAGCCTAGTGTTCCTAGGCTACAAACCTGTACAGCATGTTACTGCACTCAATATTGTAGGCAACTGGAACACAGTGGTAAGTATTTGTGGATCTAAACATATCTAAACATAGAAAAGGTACAGTAAAAATACAGCATAAAAGATTTTTAAAAGGGTACACCTGTATAAGGCACCATGAATGGAGCTCGTAGGACTGGAAGTTGTTCTGGGTAAGTCAGGCGTCCTCAAACTATGGTCCGAGGGCCACATGCGGGCTGCCTAGCACATTTATCTGGCCCTCTGGGTGTTTTTGCCGCCACTGCCGGTCCTGCTTAGCAGCCAACTCATCCCGGGCCCACAGTGCATACTCTCCAACAGTCTAAGGGACAGTGAACTGGCCCCGTTTAAAAAGTTTGAGGACCCCTGGGGTAAGTGGTGAGTGTTGAGTGAATATGAAGGCCTAGAACATTACTGGACACTACCATAGACTTTATAAACATTGTATACTTAGTCTACACTAAATTTACTAAAAAAGTAGTTTTTTTTTCTTCAATAATAAATGAAACTTAGCTTATTGTAACTTTTTTACTTTATGAACTTTTAAATTTTTTTAACTTTTGACTCTTTTGTAATAACACTTAGCTTAAAACACAAACACATTGCACAGCTGTACAAAAATATTATCTTTCTTTATATTGTTAATGTATAAGCTTTTTTCTACTTTAAAGGTTTTTTGTCTTCTTTTTTACTTTTTAAACTCTTTTATTACTAGCTAAAAAATAAGACACAAACACATACATTAGCCTAGGCCAACAAAGGGTCCAGATCATCAAGATGTCACTAGGTGAGAGGAATTTTTCAGCACCATTACCATCTTATGGGACCACCTTCATATATATGCAGTCAGTCATTGACCAAAATGTTATGCAGTGCGTGACTACACTGAAAGGCTGCTGGAGGGTACAGTAAGGTTAAAGACGGTACAAAGGAAATTATGCCAATGAAAAAATGAGGCAATTATCAACTCCAGATAAAACATAAAGTTGGAAAAGAGAAGAAACATAATCATGATACAACCAATTTGACTATGCAATAAATGTTATTTATATAATCATAATAACATGAATACTGAATAAGCCCCAAAATCATAATAACTATTTTGGGGGCAAAGATGTTTATAGGGATGGATAATAAGAGAGCTGAATCCTCAACTACCAAAATACTACGAAATAACTAATTGAGAAATAGCAGTGTAGATAAGCATATTAGTTTGAAATACAGATTTCTGTCTGAAGAACAGCTAAAAGCCGTTGCTCCTGAGGAACAGGAATGGGAATTTGGGAGGGAAGGGTAGCATTACTATTTTTACTTACAAGTGCTTTAGTAATATGTGACTTTTCCAATTATGTACACTATTACTTTGAAAAAATATGAAATTAATTTTGAAAAAGATTTTGAAATTAAGTTAATGAACAAAAAGAAAGACTTTGAGACATTAACCATCAGTCTCAATAATTATAAAAACTGTACTATACTGTTCTGTTCTTCTGTACTAAACTATTCTGTTCTTCTCCTACCTTCTCCCCCAAACCAAACATAACCCTTAACATTTCAGTTAGCTCTATATCAAATTCCTATATGATATTTTAAAAAATGAAATTATAGTATCCTAGCCTAATCCTCACCATCCTCCTCCATGCTTCCCACCCTTAAACTGAATTTTTGGCAAGGGTATGATGGTAAATGTTTGATAATCGGTTCTCTGGAAAAAAAGTCCTGATTTGTAGCATTTGCTCCCATTTCCATGGTATAAATACTCCCATTCATGGCTAATTTCAAGCTACCACTGTGATGTCACTGAATGTGGAATTGGGAAGAAATGCTTCCAATCAGCTCTTGCAAGCCAGTGCAAGGGTCTTTGGGTCATAGAGCCTTATCAGCCTTTATGCTTCCCACCAGACCTGGGATATAGGGGAGATCTGAGTATCTCCCCAAAAGAGCAGGAAGTCCCCATGGGTACATAGCAGCAGTAGAAGTAGGTACTCAAGGAAAGTGAAGTGGTTCTGGCTGCAGGGAAGGGGTTGTCAATTTACCGCCTTCCTTCCCCCCTCCACCTGCCATACTCCCACCTCCAACAGAGTTACCTGCTCATTGGTGACCCCTGGGCGCAGAGTCCCATGTTTGTAGTCCTCCAGCAGCTGCACAGCCTCTCTGAGACGTCTCTGCAGAGGAAAGAAAGAGACATTGAAGGGCACAGATCCAGAGCTCCTGGAAATTTTTTCCTTGTAGGATTATATCAGTGTCAATCAAGTACTGAAAGTGTTCACAATGTACAAGGCCTCAGGCCTGTCCAAAGTTCATAGGATACACAAAAAATAGTAAAGAAGGAAATCATCTAAATGTCCCTCCATTGGGAAATGGCTCAACAATGGTAGTATAATAATACTATGAAACAATATTCAGCAGTTTAAAAAATGCCAAGTAGTATGATGCTGTTTGTAGTACCAAATAACACACAGCCATATAAAACGATATTTTCTAGAATATTTATGTGTCTAAATGCATCCAAAAAAGTCCTAGAAGTAGACCTACCAAACTGGTGACAAGAGTTACCTTGGGGTAGAAGGAAAGGTCCCACACTTGGCAAAGGATGTCAGAAGGAACTTCAATCTTAATTGTAATATTGAAAGTTTTGATTTTTTTTTTTGAGACAGAGTCTCGCTCTGTTCCCCAGGCTAGAGTGCCATGGCATCAGCCTAGACAACCTCAAACTCCTGGGCTTAAGCAATCCTTTTGCTTCAGCCTCCCAAATAGCTGGGACTACAGGCATGCGCCACCATGCCCGGCTAATTTTTTTTATTTATATAGTTGTCCAGATAATTTCTTTCTATTTTTAGTAGAGACGGGGTCTCGCTCTTTTTCAGGCTGGTTTTGAACTCCTGACCTCAAGCGATCCTCCCACCTTGGCCTCCCAGAGTGCTAGGATTACAGGCGTGAGCCATCACGCCCAGCCATATTAAAAGCTTTTTAAAGAACATATTTATGTAATACTTAAATAATTTATTTTTGACATTTTAAAAACATTGGCAAAGATTTACCTACTAAAGTATATATGACTGCAGTGACTGATGGGGATAGAGATAGAAAAGGATAGAACTGTAGGATTTTTAGAATCTAAAGAGAGAGCAAGTGATAGAAGGTAGACTTTGTCTACCAAAAGACTTGTAGAGGAACGTTCATGCTGGCCTACAGAGGACAAAAAAAAATTAATTAAAAAAGAAAAAGAAAAAAGAATGTTTACAGCAGCACTATTCATATAGCCCCAAACTGTAAATAATTCAATAGTAGAATCGATAGGTAAATTATAGTATATGCCCACAATGAAATATTATACAGCAATTAAAAAGTAAACTACAAATACATGTTATAGAGTAGATGAATCTCACAGACATAATATGGCAGAATGTATTTTCCAAAGATGGCCACCTCAATATTCCTGTCTCCCATGTTCTTCTAGAACATTCCTACATCCTCATTTAAAGGTAAAGTCTATGTTCCCTCCCCTTGATTCTGGTCAGGATTTTGTGACTGCCTCAACAAATAGGGAATGACAGAAGTAAGGTAATGTAACCTCATCGTGGAGCTAGATCATAAAAATGTCTCACACTTCCGCTTTGCCCTTAGGATAGTTACTCTTTTGGAACCTAGTCACCACGCTTAGGAAAGACCCATGTGCGTAGGAACTGAGGCCTTGTCACCAGCTTGCTCACCATGCAAGTGAACCATCTTGCAATGGACTCTTCCAGGCCCCTGGAAGAGTCACCCTGGGCAATGCCACATAGAGCAGAGATGAACCATTCCCTATAAGCCCCACCCCAGACTGAAAACCAGTGAGCAAATAACTAACTGTTGTTTTAAGCCATTAAATTCTGGGCTGCTTTGTTACATAGCAATAGCAGGCTAATATACACAATGATAAGCAAAAGAAGACACAAAGAATACATATAACAAAGTTTAAAAACAGGCAAAACTGACATATGGCAGGAGAGGGCCTTATCATCTTCCACCTGAAGGGGGTTACTGACAGGAAAAAAACACGAGGGAACCCTCTAGGGTAACAGGCATTTCAACACCTCCATCTGAGTGGTGGTTATAGGGGCATAAACATATGCAAAAATTCACTAAGCCATACAGTTAGGAGTTGTGCATTTTCCTATATGTTATACCTCAAAAAATTAACAATAAACAGACAACAGTGATGGAAGGCAGCTCACGTCAAGGTCCAGATGAGGGACCCGACATCAGGGATGCCCAGCGTGGGGGAGGAAACCCCGTGAAGCCACCCTGTTCCCCTTTGGACTAAGGGATAAGGCGGGCTAGGGAGAGACCCCAACATGAGCCCACGAAGGGCACCCAGTGGGGTGGGCTGAGAGTCTGCAGAGCTGGCTGACAGTGTGGGCTACGACCAGCCACCCCACACACAGAAGATCAGCAGCAGGAATAGCTGCTGACCCAGACAGACCAGCCAGGCCTCCCTCTACCCCGGGCCTGTGGGAAGTACGTGTCTCCAGCGCCGTGCTCACTCCCGGACCACAGTGGAAGCACAGACAGGGACCAAGGAAACTCTTCTTACTTGGACTGGCCTAAGGCTGGAAAGCACTATCCTTTCTCTTTCAAGTGTCTGAGTACCAGTTCCTAGATTCCCAAGAGCCCATTCCTGGAATCTGTTCATTTCTTAAGTGGAGAGACGGCTTTGTGGTTGTTTTTTGTTTGTTTTTTCCCAATTATACAAGTAATCCATGCTGTTTAAAGCAAATGTCAGAAAAAAATAGAAAAGCACAAAAAAAAAAAAAAAAAAAAAAAAAAAAAAAAAAAAAAAAAAAAAAAAAAAAAAAAAAAAAAAGATTTTAAATCACCCGTAAACATACCACTGAGATAACCACTGCCAAAGAGAGGATGATTTTTCTTCTGGACTTAATACATTTGTTTTTCAACAAAATTGGATCATGTTGATTGTTTTAACTGAAGGTCACACAAATAGTAAGTGACTGATTTAGTATTTGAACCCAGAGTTTATTTGGCCTCCTGCTCTGCACACCCCCCAACACCGCCAGAGCCTCCTAGTGCCGAGCAAGCCCCCCCACTGCAGCCTGCTTCCTCCCGCCGCCCGCCCGGCCGCTGCAGCCTGGACAATGCATGCTCTACTTTCCAACACTGAATGGTGAATGGCCCCGTGTTCTCATTATTTTTCCCACTCCAGGGATTCTCCTGAGTTCCTATAACAACCTGGCCAGATTCCATCTCATTTGACACAGGCATCAAAGGGAGCCCTCTTGCCGAAAGAATAAGTTCCAAAGAGCCCTGATCTTGGCAAACGGCATGGGTTGAGGGGGAACTAAATCCAAAGTTCCCAAAGACAAGTCTAAGGACCCAGGACTGAAGGAAGCTGCAATGTGTTTTTCTGTCTCTGGGTGCTACGGGCTAGCCTCGGCCTTACTAAGCCTCTCTTGGCCCTGTGGGACAGGACAGGCCTCAGGCCACCTGTCTTGAAAGGTCCCCACAGCCTGGATGTTCTGGGAGCTGGTGTCCCCACTGCAGAGAACAGGGCCATTTCATGGAGACTCAGGGAATAGGAGGAGGGTCCCCCTGCTTTAACCCCTCCTCTCATGCTGCGGGATTGTGAGGCTTGGCAGAGGGCTTGGGCACTTGAGGGGTGGGGAAAGCTGGGAGGTCGGTGGCAGGGCAAACCCTGCAGGAACCGTTTTCAGCCAGGAACAAACAGGGAGCCAGCCCCTGAATGCAAAGTCTGTGAAGGGCCCGGCTGGAGCCCCGGGCTGGAGGGAAGGATGGCCCAAGCTGCGGCTTCCCAAACTCCGTCTCCCTCACCAGCCAACTTGCCAGAAAGTGTCACCATGACAGTCTCTTCTTGCATTTGACAGGGCATGGTCTGCAGAAGGTCCCTCTGGAAAGGCATGCACCTGGGAGCTGTGCTCCCACAGTGGAGGATTCCAACAGAGGAGAATCTGGCCCCTCAGTCCTGCTCCAAGGCCCTGAGGGGAAAGTGTAGGAAGAAAAGGGATAGGCTCGGAGGCTGGGGTGGTGGCCAGAGAGGGCAGGATATCATGACAGAGGGGAATGGGGATGGAGGGACAGAAAGAAAAAGGCACAAAAGGAAAGCTGAGGAAAGAGGCATCAGAAGCAAAACTAATCTTTTCTTGGGGCGACTGCCCTGTTCACACAGGATGTGGACAAGAACAGCCCTCTGCATGTAGACATCATAGAACCAGCTAGGCCATCTCCTCTCTGAGAAAACTGGGGCCAAGAGGGAAGGGTACTTCTTGCCCAAGTCACAGACTAGGTGGGTGTCACCTAGAAACCCCAAGAAACCTCAACCCCAGTTCTGAGCCATTTCCACAAGACATCAGCAGGGAAGAACTTCCTGTACTCAAGACAGCAACTTGTCTCCCAAAGAAATCACAGAAATGCTTGAATCCTCCCAAACCTGGGGGCTACTGGGATAGGGAACCCCAGGTAGGAAAAACAGAGGCCTTTCATACTCTCATTCAAAGCTGGGCCCAGCCTAACACAGAAAATAATGGAAAGCATGTTTAGATGAATCAGGTACAATTGAACTGTGCACCATTTCAGGCAAAGTGGAGAGTTTGAGAGTCCCAAAGCTTACAAACCAAAAAAGAAAAAGTAGATAATGTTGGGGGTGGGGGGGAATGAATTGGCAGTGGGGTGTGCAGGGAGGCAGGGAGGCCAGTGGATCACATTACATCATGCCTTGGTCGCCAGCCGTTCTCACGAGGCCAGTCTCGCATTTGCTGGGGCCAGGCCTGTGCATCCTCACCACGCTTGACCGCTACTAGCGTGGCCTCCAGGCGGTGGAACTGGGGACCAAAGCTTTGCCTGCTATGTGCAGGCAAAGTCCCAAACCCTTCTCGTCTTCCCTCAGCCACCCCAAACTCCTTCTTGTTCCCTCCCAGCAGTCCCGGAACCTGTGGGGTGCTACCTGTCTGCACTGGGATGAGTCCTTGGCTCCCACAGCCGTGAGCCACGCTTTGAGAGGCCCAAGGGAAGGGGAACCAGGTACATGTAGCTTTCCCTGAGCTGACCTCTGGTCACCTTTGGAGGCTGAGTAGGGTTTTTGCAGTATGACAGGTAGTGCCTCCCTTCAGGAAATAAATCTATCTGGCTGCCCCAAGAACTTTAAAAACTA